ATTGCTTGGCTTTCCTTGACTACTATGTTTTACCATTAAACCATTCCCTTGCTCTTTTAAGACTTCTGAAAGCATGCTCCACACCTCGTCCCTCTCAGGTTTTGGAAGGCACTTCAGATTCTTAAACATTGGATCAAGTGCTGTTGCTATCTTTAGAAATCTCACATTTGTACCTTCTTTGCGTTTTGTCAAATCTGCTGTGAAAGTGTTCTTAAAATGAACATGTGCTGGGTCATCATCCGAGACTGCTATAACGTGAAATATATGGCAGAATGTGGGTAAACAGAGTAGGAGACATACAATTCTCCCCCCAAGGAATTCAGTCACAAATTTAATTAATGTATTAGTTTTTTAACGAGCATCATCAGCATGGAAGCATGTCCTCTGGAATGTTGGCCGAAGCATGAAGGGGCATACGAATGTTTAGCATATCTGGCACGTAAATACTTTGCAATGCCAGCTACAAAAGTGCCATTCTCACTTTCAGGTGACATTGTAAATAAGAAACAGGCAGCATTTACACGGAACACATCACCGGCCACCGCCAATACCAAGAGCGAGCCGATTAGACCTCGCCCACCTGCAAGGGAGAAGGGACTCGCTAACCCCCCCCTCCTCCCCCCACTGGACCTTACCCCCTGAGCCCCTAACCCACCCAACCTCACCGGCCACCGCCAACTCCGGGAGCGAGCCAGGGAAACCTCGCCCACCCACAAGGGATCTACCACCCCCCCCCCGCTGGGCCTGAGCCCCAAATCCGCCCACCCAACCTCACTGGCCGCCGCCAATGCCAAGAGCGAGCCGGGGAGCCCTTGCCCACCGACAAGGGGGCAGAGATCCTACCCCCTGAGCCCCTAACCCACCCAACCTCACCGGCCACCGCCAACTCCGGGAGCGAGCCAGGGAAACCCCGCCCCCCCACAAGGGATCTTCCCCCCCCCCCCCGCGCCCCCCGCCCCCCCCCCCCCCATTGGGGACACTACAGGCCGTATGTTTTATGTGTGCTGCCAACCCCAACATAACAACATCCCCCCATACTCTGTATGTTCCCCCCAATGACTGACACCTGACTCCTTGAATCGTTTGTACCGTCTTTATTTTTAAATATTATCTGGCACGTAAATACTTTGCAATGCCAGCTACAAAAGTGCCATTCTCACTTTCAGGTGACATTGTAAATAAGAAACAGGCAGCATTTACACGGAACACATCACCGGCCACCGCCAATAACAAGAGCGAGCCGATTAGACCTCGGCC